CCCGCCCAGCCGCTGCCGCCATCCGCGCGCCTCGGGAGCACGGAGCCTGGCCAAAGGGACAGAGTGGGCCTGTCTGTCAGCTCCATTTCTAGCGCAGGAGGTCCCCGGCACGTGCTGCTGACAGTAAGTGAACCGCCTCGGAGCGGTCCCTGCCCCTCTCCGCTTTGTGAGAGGCCACAAAGCTGCTGGCTCAGGATGAGAACAGGCACAGCCTTCCAGAGAGGGGGTAAGGGCATGCAATGCTAATAAAGGTTGAATGATATAAAAAAAGCAGGCTTAGGAAGAAGCAAGAAGCACTTATTTTCTAGAGTCTAGCTGCACTAGGGCACAGGGTGGCACTGAAACACTTCTGGGCATACACAGCTGTGGAAATCTATGATAAACACAGTGCCAATCCCAAGGCACGTGGGATCTTGTGTCAATATCAAAGAAGTTTAGAAAAGCCAGGTGAAAAAAACAGTATCTAAAAGGCAAAGTACGAGTCCAAAGGCAGATGCATCACAGAGCCAGTTTTATTTTGGTTTGTTGGGCTGCCAGAAGTGACTCGACAGGAGTACAGTTCATACCTGCCGTGGGCTTTGTTGTTGAAGTATAAAAGAAATACAAAAAGAGCTTCTGCCAGGCTTTCCACCTAGAACCAAACGAGAGCGAAGAAGGTGGGGGAGACAGCATTCCCCAGGCTGGCACCGGGGCCAGACCCTGCTGCTACTAAAGCCACAGAGCAAAGGACAATACCCGGCACGCACAGCTCCTTCCTGCCTCAAAGGGGGCTGAGCGCCAGTTCTGCCCGCAGCCGGCAGCTGTGGAGCACTCTCCAGCTAAGTTACCCAACGGCTGCTTCGCAGCGTGGGGTAGCTGCGATGTTTAAGCCCAAAGGCTGCTGTTGGGATGAGGGCAGAGCCTTTTGCGCATCCTAACTTCGTCCCCGAAGAAAGGCGGTTTTTGTAAAGCGCAGCTGTCACAGGGCCGCGTTTCCAGGACCCCCCACCCAGACACACGCAGAGCGTGAAGCCCTCGGGGAACTTACAGCCACAGGGAGTCACAGGGCGGTACCGGTGCTCCTCCGCCCGGGCCTCAGACGTAGATACCGACCCACAGCAGCAGGAAGAGGACGCCAAAGCCCATGAAGAGCGAGGCCACCAGCGAGATCAACAGCTCCTTGTAGATGTCCCGCGTGTACTTGGTAGAAGTCACCTCGTAGCTGCAGCCCGGGGGTCAAGGCGACAACGGAGGCAGAGCAAGAGGAAGCCTCCCCCCCCTCCCCAGCCCCGCGACCACCGGGGATACACGAAGAACCAGGCGGTGAAGAACATGCCGATGGCCAGCAGCACCACGGTGAGGTGCGGGAAGACGGCCGGGTTCACCGGGCTGGTGTATCTGCTCATCGCCTCCAGCTCCTGCGAGGACACGGCGAAGGTGAGCGG